ACAAGATGGAATTTGATGCCCACAGGAACACAACCGACTCAGACGAGTCAGTGTATGGCAGTGCGGATGAGCTTCCGTCTGATATCGACGTGTCCGATGCTGGAGATAATCACCATCAAAGTTCAGATAACACAAGCGTGCCAAATGGAAACAGAAAGGTGTCAGCAGGAGAACGATCTCTGGAAGACGTGAACAGGCAAATCTTTGAATTATTTGCCAAACCATACTTGGATCGTCAAACGGATTCACAAGACGCTTTACTGGATATAATGGAAAACATAATTACATTTAGTGTACAAATGCTTGGAGAAGAGTGAAAATATATGCCGAAAAGCGTATCATCTGAGTAAAGATGGGTCAGTCCATGGCACGGCCATACAAAACATGCTCCGGTTCTATGAAGACTCCCTTATGCAGGGATTCAGACAGATGGATGTTCAGGTTCCTCGTCAGCTTGAAGCCCCATCACTCTGTTATGGTATGTTTACAACGTGTTGTCAAACGTCCATGACACATTACCGTCAAAACGCATCAAAATACTTAACCTGAATATCAATACTGCAACAGTAAAGTGGCACTTGGCATGGCAACCAAATGAAATATACTCAGCAGCAAAAAAAACGTCAGTACGAATTCAAAATTAAATAGACACTGTAATCAGATAATTACAGAAATGGACATAATAAGCGGATCTAAAACATTTTTTGTGTACAATATCTTGGCAAATCGATGAATAACTCAGCACAATTCCAAGACATTACGTGAACGTTTGCAGTCCATTCAGACCCTTGACTTCAATATCTGGAGTGACCACCATGAGCGGTAATAACTGCAGCACAGCGTCTATGCATGGAGTGCACCAATCGATTGATGAAGCCCACTGGCACCTGGAACCATACTCCAGCAATATCACGGCGGGGGACACCAGAAATGGGCTTCACACATTGTACCCATGTGGGGAATCGAACCCAGGTCTTCGGTGTGACGAGCGAACGCTTTAACCACTACCCCACCGCCCCGTTTCTGTAACATCAGTGCATCACACAGACATCTTAGGACACACCAGCTGAGTCCAGGTTGTCTGTATTTCTGAATACTTGCGTACACAATGATTGGAGTAGTTGTATGCAGTCTATGTGTGTATGTATAAGGCTACAATGAAACAAACCACTCTGTTTGGCTACCGTAGAGTGACTAAAGCGCCTGGAAAATATCACATGAATTGCATGAATAGTATTTAGGCTGCATAACGGTGCACATAGTTTCCAGTGTACGATACGTGAACTTTATCTTGTTTTCAACACAATAACAGTGATCATATAAGTGAACATTAAAACACTTCCTAACGATTGATATCAATAGAACAGAAAACCTACACTTCGGATGACTGATGATTCTCTTAAAGAAGGAAACATTGCACAAGAAAGACGAAACACTGGCGGTTTGGTGATGCACACGATTCTATAGCAATACTGTTGTTTGTAACAGTAGACTCCTCTGATGACACACAACTGTAAGTTACGTGTTCTACAGAGTCAAATAACACATTCATAAAGTTATTGCTTCGTCCTCTGTGGAAAACAGCGCAAGTATTTGTGAAACTGGACGTGCTTACGTCTTTGTTGAATTCTCTCAAATACCATAGATGGGAGCATTTGCAGTCGGGAGAACCTTCTCCACTATACCCAGGGGCCATTTATTTATTGCAGTGTTAATTTCCTTAAACCAACATCGTCTTGCACGGTGTTAGGCTCATCAGGTGACCACTTACATATACCTTGTAATGTTGGGAGACCTTCATTTTTCTATCGAAACTGGTGTGCTTGTGTCTATACGTATGGCCATTATCAGAATAGTCTTTCGACACAACTTCTGTGAGTGGCATTTAGAAGTTGGTGTAATGAACAACGAGGAGAGTTCCACATGTATATACAACTTCTTTAATGTAATATGAGCGACGTTTCGGTGCAGCTACTAATACAGTTATCAAGCAAGCATCCATAGAACTCTTCTCGTTGTCTTTCGACTAGTTCCACACCATGATAAATGATACGAGTGCAGATTATTCAGTGCGTAATTAAAAAGGTAATAATTTTACACAACTACACAATATTCTGACACGATGCAGTGAAGAGTGAATGTCTAAAATGGAGTGGAGTTTGGAGTAATTATTCGAGTGATGCTCATCATCCTTTCACAAACCCCTCCCACATGTGAGAACAGAGGTGGATAGGAAACTACAACTGGTCCTACAATGTTGATGCTTTCAGTATTGAGAACGCCCTCTGTCCCTACAATGTTGGTTCTACTATCTACTGTTCCTTCACTTACACCCCGATATATATCAGTAATAATAGCAGAGGTACTTGGCTCTTCAGTAACTTCAGCGTGGATTACTTTCAGAACAAGGTGTGCATATCAATGCTCTACTTCCGCTTTGAGTGAACATATTTTTCTCAAAGCGCAATTCTTCTAAGTCTTCAGCGAAAGAGTTTGATGCAATTGCGTGGAGTCTAAGACAGTGAAATGTTTACAAAATGAGTTGTGATGATTTCACAAGATATAGAGGCTAATACAAGGTTCCCTGGTGAATATGTAATAGATATGTAACTATCATGTATAAATTGTCGTCTTTAATCACGAAGTACTCTCGTTCCTGCCTATTTGGATCCTGCCATTAGTTGTACGAATTCAAGTGTTCTCTAAATGTTTTTGAGTGATATATGTAACTGAAACTCATTAGAACTATATTTATTGTACCCTTGTGGTACTTTGGTATCCTACATGGTCATAGGCTATTATCAATGAGTCTCGTGTATTCTACAATAGTTGCATTTTCATCCTTTAAGTCATCCATGTTTACCGTGTACAGCTATCAAAGTAGATTGAGTGATATTTGCGTAATTGTTTCGATGACTATTTATGGGAATATATCCCTGATAACCTAGTAACAGCCCCAGTTGTAGATATCTAACCGCATTTTACCTGACTAATGAATAAACATCGAATTCAGACACACAGCATTGAGAGAATTTTAACATGGGACGTATGCAAACGTTAAGTGGGGTCCGATGTATACAGAGCATGTAGAAAGGATCTTCGAGTGTTACACCACGTTTCATAGTGATATCCACAGTGTATTGTGTGTGGGAGTATTCTCTGTGGCTTCCTAATGCAGTCCGTCAGCCGAAACAGTCAATTGTCCGTCTTGAACACGTCAAATAAAGCGTCATTAGATTCATATCAGCAATCAATATACACCTCAAGCTACAATACATGATACATGACAGATAGCAGTCATCGTGTTGGTCTCTATTTCTGTATTCACTACAACATATAATGTGTTTTCCTTTCCTCTGCTGAACATTCAAGGACAGATATATATGACTGTCTCTATCCTTATTCTGTTCATTACTTGCTGGATGAACCTACACTGAAACATCGCCCCCATTGTAGTATGGAAGTTGTTTTTCCATCCATTGAGCAACAAAGTTAGTTACAGTCATGCCCAATTAGTTGGAGGTCCACCAAATAACCTATGTTGTACACACAAAACAAATTATTTACATCGTTGTACCATATATCAATTTGACAGCTATATTTGTATGTACTAACAACTTCCGCAAGTCTGATGTACGCGATGAGCGGGGTTTTTTTTAGATGTAAAGATACTAATAAACTGACATTTCCTGAAAGTTCATTCGCCTCCCGTATGTCTAGTTCAGATGGAAAATCCAATGAAGAGAATTGCCTACTTTACTGTCATTTGATGCCTAGATCCTCAACCGATTTTGAACGAAATCAGACCATCGCTTACGTTAAACCTCTTCGACAATTTCATGTTGCAAAGTTTCTTTTTCAGCATTGTTACTATTCGAGTTAACATCGTTTCAGGCCGTATTGCAGTTACATAAAAATTGTTTATGTCAATATTTGTACAGAATACCTAGAGGGGCAGCTGCCACCCCACCCCACCCCCACCCCCGAATCTTTTTACAAATTATCTTCTGTATATAAAAAAACATTTTTGATATTCCCTTGGAACTGTAAATGTGTTAATTTATTGGTTGATCATAAATAAAGCAATCTTTCTGACTGGCCTTTCTTGTTAAGTTGCAATGAGTTAACTGAGTGAGTGAGAAATACTGAACAAACCTGAAGATAAATTTCACGTGCGATTTCGGGACTGTCAACTGAATGTAATAATACAATTATTGTATATTAATACTTAAACTGAACAAAACAGTTGTTTTGCATGTATACAGATATGCCTAAACATATTTATAAAGTTTAGTTCAGAATACTCTGCACAGATGCTACAATTCTGAACAAAGAAACTTTATATAAAAAACCATGAAAACATTTGGTCAAATGTAGTAGGGAAAATTAATATTTTATACATAAATGGAGTCATTTTACCTTCAGAAAGCAGGAAATTGCATCTGAGAGCATCTAATTTAAAAAAAATCAAGGGGCACCCTGATAGATCTTCAGATGCCCCCCAACCCCAACCCCCTTTAAGAAAAGGTAGCTACGGCCACGTGGAATATTGCTAAAATGGGTGTAAAACTAAACTCACTCACTTTCATATATCTTCATTCATTCAGATCCTTTTTTATTATTCAATAGAGGGGACTTATTTGTTTTGGTCGTGTTTGCTCCGATGGACCTCTGTGTTACCTTGGCGTGGGTATACAACGGGTACCACTGGTGTTAGTTTTAATGTAAGACAACATTTTAGGTTTGGGGCCGGTGAACGGACCACTGACGGAACACCTGACAGGAGTTGATAATGAAAGTACGCTTAAATAGTGATCGCGGGTAATTCCATAATTAATAAATAGTATACCTGTCGCTAGAAACGTTTCACCTTATCAAACACACGTCATTCCTTATCTATATGATCAGTGTGAGCTTCGCCCCGGGTCTGATTTCAGTTATTTACAGTGAATGAGGTGTGGGGTAATTGTGTAAACAAGCTTGGCTTCTGTGACTGGCTGAGGTCATCGAATGTATTGTCACCAAACGTTCGAACTATTCGTAGTTTGTGGAGGAAAGGTGAGCAAAGATATTGTGTACTATGTATATGTCTCTTATACCAACACAAGGACGTAATATGATACCCGGCTCATGCCATATGGCTGTAGCTGGTCTCAGCCGCCTGTATGCCATTTTAGCTATAGCCAGAAAATAATCGGACGTTGTTTCACTTCTGAGTAGTATAATTGGCATACAGTGAAGCCCCGTTAGTCCGGACTCCGATAATCCGGATGTCTCGCCTCCCGGACGATTTTAGCTTGTTACCAATCTATGCCTATTTAATTTGCCTCGATAATCCGGAAATTCGGTTTCCGGAACCGGACGGTAAGTAGCTGTAACCAATCAGTAAAATAAACACTAAATTGCTTCACAGTCCGGACGCTGTAAGTCGTGTTCACGAACCATAACAACACCCCCACAGCGATGTTTACTTAACTGGCCATAAACAATAAAAACTCGGTGTCATGGAGTTGACAAGATGAACTCTTGTTAACTTTTGAGAAATGTCTATTAAGGGTTGTTGTTTTAATTAGACATTCAAATCTCCCGACTGAAGATGCTGTACATTTACACTTTGATTGGCACCACAATAGAAGGCGTGGATGAACACCACAATAGAAGGCGTGGATGACAAGTGAGCTATTTTGTGATTGGTTAATGTACTTTGACAGACAGATGCGGTCACGTGGACTTAAAGTGATTTTGCTTCTCAACAACGCTGCAAGTCACAAGTGTGCTTCGCTGACTTTGCGAAATGTGACCAAATAGCACGTCTCATATTCAACCGATGGATGCAGGAATAATTCGGACATTCAAGGCATACTACAATAGATCGCTTGTTAGATATTACCTCACCTGTGCTGAGGAAGGACGTGATCAGATACGTCGGATCAACATGCGGATGTCACTTGGTAAAATTATTCATGTGATGAATTCAATGAGGAAGGTTAAACGAACACAAACAACAATGAAAGACTTTTTGCTATGACTATAGATTATTGTTGTGCTTGCTATTCATTGTTTTATAAGCTTTACATTAAATGCTTATTTGTTTTATCCAGATTTGTGTCGTTTTTGTAATAGTAAGGGAAGCAACTCTTGCTTGAACTTGGGTCTTGATTCAGTAGTCCGGACTATTCGCAATCCGGACGAATTTGCTGAGAAACGCAACCGTCCGGATTAACGAGGCATATGCGTACAAATCGTTTAACAACTGATTGGTGGCTGTGAATATCAATATACTACCTACCTGCAACTGACTGTGAAGATCGATATGCTACTAACCTGCAACTGACTGCGTTTCTGTCAAGCAAGACAATCTTTATATGAAGTTAGGAACTACTGGTATTCAATAAACAGATATATCTATGGTATGGGGGTAAGGTAGGTAAAATAGTCATCACATCGTTGCTTTAGTTGATGACAGAGTGTAGCATTTGATGTTTATTAGATTATGATGGTAGATAATTTTAGTAGTTTCCAGTTAGGGGTAGTGTGTACACAATAAGGGAATATTCATAGTAACTAGTATATTATTGATAAGATTGGATCATGTAATCTACGAATTTGCTTTACAGCAATTAACGCTCACGTATATATTGATTGTGTTACAATACAATGTCACTTTCCAAGAAGTGGTTGTCGGTATCGCTTCGTGGAAAAGAAATATATGGGTCACACCATTGATTAAGGTCATCGTGACACAGGGACAGCTGTATGTGGTAAGGTGGTTGAAGGATCACCTCCCTCTCTCTCTCCGTGTTACGCAATCGCTCCCTTTCTCACCCTCTCTCTCTGATCTCTCTCTCTCCCCCCATCCCACCCCATCACACTCACTCTCTCACACTCTAACTCATTCTCTGCCACTTTTACTCACTCTCCTACACTCATAGTTACTCTCTCGTTTTCTAACCCTTTCTAGTAGCCCCGGGCTCGATTTGGAACATGGGTACAATGTGTGAAGCCCATTTCTTTCTGGTGTCTCCCGCCGTGATATTGCTGGAATGTTGATTAAAGCGGCGTAAAACCATACAATATCCATCAAACCACGTTCAAACTTACAACGAAACGGGAATTATATTTTGCCATCCACACCCCAAATACATCTTATAGAGACAACCTATGAATGTGCGTCATTTATTGTAGACACAAGATGGAATTTGATGCCCACAGGAACACAACCGACTCAGACGAGTCTGTGTATGGCAGTGCGGATGAGCTTCCGTCTGATATCGACGTGTCCGATGCTGGAGATAATCACCATCAAAGTTCAGATAACACAAGCGTGCCAAATGGAAACAGAAAGGTGTCAGCAGGAGAACGATCTCTGGAAGACGTGAACAGGCAAATCTTTGAATTATTTGCCAAACCATACTTGGATCGTCAAACGGATTCACAAGACGCTTTACTGGATATAATGGAAAACATAATTACATTTAGTGTACAAATGCTTGGAGAAAGAGTGAAAATATATGCCGAAAAAGCGTATCATCTGAGTAAAGATGGGTCAGTCCATGGCACGGCCATACAAAACATGCTCCGGTTCTATGAAGACTCCCTTATGCAGGGATTCAGACAGATGGATGTTCAGGTTCCTCGTCAGCTTGAAGCCCCATCACTCTGTTATGGTATGTTTACAACGTGTTGTCAAACGTCCATGACACATTACCGTCAAAACGCATCAAAATACTTTACCTGAATATCAATACTGCAACAGTAAAGTGGCACTTGGCATGGCAACCAAAAGAAATATACTCAGCAGCAAAAAAAACGTCAGCACGAATTCAAAATTAAATAGACACTGTAATCAGATAATTACAGAAATGGACATAATAAGCTGATCTAAAACATTTTTTGTGTACAATATCTTGGCAAATATGAACGTTTGCAGTCCATTCAGACCCTTGACTTCAATATCTGGAGTGACCACCATGAGCGGTAATAACTGCAGCACAGCGTCTATGCATGGAGTGCACCAATCGATTGATGAAGCCCACTGGTACCTGGAACCACACTCTGAGAAAGGCCTGGCGCAATAAATCGGCTGTGTTCGGCCTTGGTATGACATTATTCAGTCTCCTCTGAATTTCATCCCAAAGATGTTCAATTGGGTTTAAATCAGGAAATTTGGAAAATTGGAAAATGTTGTTCCGGTGACGTCCGAAATGTGGTATGGCTTGGGGTCTGAGAGCTTGGTTCATTTAGCGCACCGCTGTGATGCCGCCTCCTCTCCCTGGACCAAGGTTCTAGAATTCAACAGGACCCACTCTCTGGTTCAGGCCTATTCCACCCCATACCAGGATGCTTGCACCTCCCCATGAGTCTCTTTCCATAACACATTGGTCTGAGTAACGCTGGCCACGTCGTCGCAATATTCCTGTTCTGCCATCTGCAGTTGATAAGCAGTACCGACTCTCATCTGTGAACAGAACAGTTCTCCATTGCCTGTATCGCCAGTTTTGGTGTTGTAGGGCAAACTGTTGACGTTCACGCCGATGACGAGGAGGATAGGTCCACGGTAAGGCCTACGGCTGTTAAGACGTCGGCGTACTGTATGAGTACTGATTGGTCTTCCGTGTGTTCCCTCTGTCTGACGTGCTGTTTCGGATGCCTGCATGAAGGGATTCTGTACTTGCTGTCGCACAACATGGCAGTCTTGTCGTCTTGTGTCACCCTTGGTCTGCCAGTATGGGGGCGATCACTTGTGGTGGTTGTGGCCCGGAAACGTTGCTGCAGCCTGTAGATGGTCCGAACTTTGACCCGGAAGTGATTGGCAACGGCTTGTGCAGTGTGGTCAGCTTCAAGTCTTCCTAGCCTGGTTCCTCTGAGCTGTCGTGAGTCGCGGCATCCTGCTGACGTTGTAATGTGAATGTTTCAGACAGGTTTGGGGGGTGCATTTTTTAGGGCTTGTCCTTGTGAACACCACGTGCAGCAGAAGTTGCATGAAAAACATGGAGAACACCGTACCATCTTCAAGATCAGGTTGCGTTTTTGAGACCATTTCCTGGGTTCCATTCTGAATTTGGGAAGGAATGCATTTGCTAAAGTTGGAGATGTAAAAAATATACAATCAAAACATTAAATGAGTTTACAGTTATCCGTTCCTGCGAAGGAAAATTCCAAACTGACGTTTCTTTTGCTGCTTAGTATATATATTTAGAGAAAATTATTTCCAAGTGTCAGTGGTATTCCGTGTATAATAGTTGTTATACCTTCATGGTGACTCTCTAAATAACCTAGTTCTTATATCCTGTACACACGTATTGTAGCCATCAGTGGTTTGCCTTAACCCTGAAAATCCGCAGGCCCTGAGGACCCATAACCATAAAAAGTTGTGAGTCCTGATCAGAAAGTGTAGGCCCTATATTTTAATATGGAAATACGGGTAATACTCATAGTTATTGGGAATGAAAAAGCTGTCGGCCATAAGGACCTGCAGAAACCAAAATCTGTGGGTCCGAGTGGTTTTCAGTCGGTTCCGGGCCTAAGGAACGTTGGTAGCCATTGTCCACCCTTTGGCATTTCGCTAGCTGGAACCATTACGTGAGTCCTATCAGTCTATTGGGAATACGGATAGATTATCCTCACAAAGCATCCTGTCTGATGTTGTACCATGAGGGCTGAAGTATCCTTGATGTGTGAATTAATATGAATATATTTAACTGCGATTGTTTGAGTATGTAACTCACTAGCAACTACAACATCACATTATTTGGGATATTAAATCCATTCCAAAATATTCAATCAGTTCCAATTTAACATAATTCGTGAGAGCATTATTTCAATGCAAGTCTTAATGAACAAAATTTTGGTCATCACGTTAAATGGTCACTTGCTCGTGTCATATATCCAAAGGTTATTCCAATGTTCTTTGTCTAATACTAGGTTCACACAACACACGGCTCCAGCATGTTATCCACGACTGCTACCACGTTATTCGCAGGGATCTAATGCTGGACCGTACAACACTGCTGGACCAAATGGTCCAAGATGACCTCATATCTACCACAGATGCATCGAGTATACGAAATGACAGAAGGCGGAACGAACGTTTCCTACATTACTTGCGTGGAAGGATGTCGTCTGTGGCATTTGAACAGAAATTTCTTCCAATCCTGAAAAAAGAGCATCCGAATTTAGAGGAAACTCTCAGAAGAAGTCTCTCAGGTTTTACAGGCACTGACGTCCCTCGTAAATGTTCTGTGTGTTTCATGAAAGACACAGTTGAACTTCGTTGCATTGCAGAGGACATGCTAAGCAACAATGTCATTACAGTTTCAGAGACAGATGACATGAGGAACGATGCACTCAGCCACGAAGACAAATGGAAACTGTTGCAAGGACACGTTAAAGACTTCAGAGCTTTTGTAAACAGCTTAAAGAAGAAATACGAAAACGTTTACCAGCGGTTAATAGCCGATGAAGCCAACTCATTTCAGTGCTTGTGTCAGAGGTCAGATGTTGATTGGACACATCTTGATTCTGGGGACGTTACAGATAAAGCATCAGTTTTTACAGCTGATGATGCAGCACGTGGTACAAACTGTCATTTTCTGTTTCATTCACAATATATATTTTTGAAGATATTATGAAATGCCAACACCCCAGAACCCGGAATGATAAGTCTCGATTACCTGTCCAAACAAATTAACGTTGACGTAAAAGTAAATGTGTATGAATGACATCTGATGAATCTGACATGATGTTGGTCATACATTAGTCAGTGATGTGAAGCAACTGATGCACTTAATATCCTGTCATAATATCGTTTCAGGTGGGCTTGGTAGCTCGTTGTACGATCGTGTGGCCAATCGTATTTTCCCCTTACTTGCTCAACGGTTTCAAGAATATTTCTACATTTTCAAGGAAAGCCCAGACTTCAAAAATGCTGTTGTAAGCTAAATCATATTTGTGTTACTGAAAATAGAATCTGATCATCTTATCAAATACGTAATTTATGGGCTCATAAGATTCATTGACAACAGCAATAGATATATACATGAAATACCTTCGTATCTGTTGACAACAGCAAAATACCAACGTAACCATATTTTTGTAGGAGTACAATTGACAGGTAAAACACCTGGTAGCATCAGCATCTGATAATGATTCATATTCACAAGCATATCACATTGTCATGACCCTTACGTTTTTGGAAATGGTTCTATTTCTTTCTATGTAAAATAATGCATCGTACCAGTTGAAGCGTACCATATGCTATTTTTAATTTCGAAAGTGAAACACAGTATGTGCCATTCTCTTCAGAATCAAGAAATGAGTTCTGTCTCAGGCAACTCGGTCTCCAACCTTTTTTCACAAGTAAGTTACGCCTACACAACTCTTACGCCTACACTGTGCATATAATCTGCCTAGCGTAATAGTAATGCCTGGGGGTGGTGAGGTAGCCTAGTGGTTAAAGTGTTCTCTCTTGACGCCGAAGACCCGGGTTCGATTCCCCACATGGGTACAATGAGTGAAGCCCATTTCTGGTGGCCCCCACCGTGATATTGCTGGAATATTACTAAAAGCAACGTAAAACTAAACTCAGTCACTGTACTTATGCCCACAAGTCATTGATGCACGCTGCTCTTTCATCATTTTCTTGTTTCGCCTCTCCAGGTTTCAGCATATCCCCGCTTCACTGTTCCTCCACCCCTGCCAGGAACAACCTTACCGATACCACGGGAAATGTCAACAGTTGGTTATCGTCAACCATACATGCTTGGAACGTTTACGGGTATGTAAACGATCACTGTTGATAGGAAAATATTAGTCACACGTTATCGCATGTGGTATTTTCATCTTTTCAAGAACACCAAAAATTAAGACCTGATTCTGACAATTTGGTAACTTAGTTCCAATCATATGTTAATCAGGAGTTTCATGTGTAGATGACTCAATCATTATATATCTTCTAGGAGGCGAATATAACTTGTATCAGAGGACTAAAATATTAACACATAGCAGCATAAGTGTCAATAATAGATGTCAGTACTATACGTGTTCAAGGTACCTCACAGCAAGGGATGCCACCTGTTGGATCATTACAGTATCCAATGGCACTTCCTGGTCCACCGCCAGTCATAAGGACACAGCTGCCTGCACCATCTACCTTCAGCTACCCAGTGCCACCACCACAGCCACCACCAACACCATCACCAGTGCAGTATCTACCGATTCCTGGACCAAACTGGAACACCGAGGTTTCACGAACAAATGGTAACTAACATTTCACAACCAACATGACGATGATATCTCTGGCAGGATTAGCAAGGGATTGTTATTGATATCACCTAGTTTTAACCATGTATGATTAAATACGAATATTGAGACTCTGAGGCGGTATATGCCATGTGTTATATACCAACTATATCTCTAATAGAGATGCATTTCATCAACTTATTTGCAGATCCTGCTTTAGTCCTACCTGCACTACCAGCAGAGGAGAGAGCTAAGGTAACGTGTGTATTTTTGCTTTACCAACGAAACGAATCAGCAATTTGTTTTCAGTAGGTGAATGAATGTTGTTTTATGCAGTTATAAGTATTCAAGTTATGTCGTGTAAAGACTATGCCTTGGGGGAGACAGACCAAAGGTGTTACGATCAACGGTGTGTGAAGATATATATAATGTGAAACCCCAAATCACAAAACCATTTCCACAGCCACAAGAAATCTCTGTTAAAATCAAAATCGATTGTGCGATTCTGTATCGATTGTACGACTCTGTATCGTGTCTTTATAAATCACTATCATATAGTGATAATACCAAGTGCCCGCAAATAGTAAGCATATCCTACTTCAGTAGTGCCATCCGTAACAAACACATGCAAAGGCAAGTCAATTGTTCACCTGAAAAACATGGGGAGCATGTACAAGTCAAGATAGGGAATTGCATCCAACTTGGTCACACTTTATCACCATATCCTAATTTTACCTCCTCTTACCACAAGCATGGGTACTGGAGACACTATCTTGCTCTGAGGTATGTGGACACCTGGTCTTATAGGCCAATATTTTAACTTTGTAACACCCTTTTAGTAATTTATTATGTCAAGATGAACCTTGACAACATTATTAGGACACAATATCTCGGGTTCCTTAGCGACCGTTCATAAATTATGGCAAAGGTGTGTGGGGTTGGGGGTTGGGGGTTTGGGTTGGGTTGGGTTGGGTTTGGCGATTTTAAGGGGGTGGGGGTGGGGGACTCTGCTCACCATAATCTTCTAGGGAAGTGGAGGGTCATCAATTTTGTCCACATGTACTACTAATATTCATGATCCAAAACCTCATTTTGTCTGATACACTATCATATTTTAAAATATAGGACAGACTGTTGATACTTAGATTCTTAGCCCTTTGGAAAGTCAGTTTTGAATTAAACGTTTTTATATCATGTCCAATATTCCTAATATTTTCTGCAAACATCATTCAACTGATTTCAGCCAACATTTGAAACCATAAAAGAAGAGGCAAATGAGGGGTTTGGTATGGATCTTCAGGCTGAAGCGAGACTCCAGAATTTGGGAAACAGACTGTACCCAAAGGTGGACTTCATGACTTCTGCAAACCCAAGGAAAATAACAGGAATGCTTCTAGAGCTTGACATCGACACGATTGAAAGACTGATAACATCACCAGAAGAACTCAGGTTAAAAGTGAGTCAGAAAGTTGCATTGCCATTCGTCAACCGTAGGCGAGTGAGTGAGTGAGTGAGTGAGTTGAGTTACACAGCTTCTAGTATTCTACATACATGAATGATACAAATGTCAACATAAGTACGTCACTAGTAATACCTTTGCTAATTTGTTTCAGGTTGAGGAAGCTGAACACATTTTAAAGAAGCACCTTGACAAGGACAAGACCCAGTGATATCAATCAAAATCTTCTCTACATCATATTACATCCTGTGTTTTAGAATGCACTACATCCAGTCAAAGCATTTGAATTTTTTTTCAAGTCACTTACCGAGTTTAGTGTATGCCGCTTTTAGCAACATTTCATCAAATATCACAGTGTGGGACCCAAGAAAAGGGCTTCACATTTCGTTCCCATGTGGGGAATCAACCCGGGTCTTTAGCGTGACGAGCGAACACTTTACTATCTCTATGCTACCCCACCACCCCACATCAAGGTGGAAGAAATGGTATGTGTGGTACTTGAAAGGACTGGTGACTGACGACAATCAATCAGGCAGCTGATCCTTCAAAGACTTCATACTCCATGCTAACACTTGACTTACTTCAAATGCTAAGATACTGGAAGACATAACACATCTTAACATTACTTTGTCTCCAGAAGTTGGTTCTTGCATATTGTCAACAGACAAACAAATGAAGATCGTTTCCAAGGTTACGGGGTTGGTATTGCCATATAAGTGAAATCTAAACTTTTCATATTTCCACATAAGAGTCTGTGTATTGAAAATAAATATATACTGTCATACTTAGGATTTGTTTGTTTGTTGTTAAAGGCCACACTCAGCAATAGTCCAGCTATATGGCGTAAATAATTAATCTGTAAATAATTCTGGACCAGACAATCCAATCTACACAATTGGGATACAATGACATGTGTCAAATAAGTCAGTGCGTCTGGCCACCCAATCCCGTTAGTCGCATCTTACAAGCATGGGTTGTTGAAGATCAATTCTCACACGGATCTTCACGGGTTTTACATGCAGAAACATAATGCTGATGATATATATGTGGGTGCATGGTTAACATGGAACAGGTACAATCATCATGGTATGTAACATAATTGGAAAAGATAATACATGTAATAATGATAGTGCCTATCTATAAGGCGCACATTTCCAAGCTCGTAAGCATGCTCTTGACGCTCAAATATTTTTACCCCGGATAATTTTAAAGTTAACATTCTAAGAGATAGATATACATTTTTCCCTAGGGATTCTAAATGGTCCAAAACTATTCTTACATTCCATGTCATCTGATACTCTTCAAAAACCTTCTCACAAGTGGATGTTGACCCGCAGGCAAACCGGACTGGAGGTGTAGTGATGATGACAAGGCACTTCGGGATGTGTTAATTGCACTATAACCACATCCATTTTCATACAAGTGACGAAGGAAATCAAGCACAACACTCGCATTAGGCAAAATAGGATCTAGATTAAGACCCTGACAATAGTTCATATACTTAAACAGATAAGATTGGTATTGTTTTTGTGTGCTTCCTCGCCAAGATTTCATGTTAATGGTTTTATCTGACAGGCCCTGTCTTTCCAGGCATGACCTGACAAGTGGCACGCCATCAGACGCAGTTTCTTGTGAAGTGGATGTACCTCCTGTTGCTTGTATGGGAGCACTAGTGTCTGTGGTCCTTGGGGAATGAGGTGTGGGGGTGACGCCATCATCCGCAACAGCATCGGATACAAGCTCTGAGTGGTCCACCTGGGCACTATCAACACATCCTCTGCTGTGTCCTCCCGAATCTTTTGCAACACTCGCTCTATCAGGCTGAATTGAGGGAAAGCATAAAATCTCAAAATCTCCAGATTTGACCAGTCATACACAAATGCATCAACAGCCTGAGCATTGGTCTCTACGAAAGGTATTTCACAACCTGATCATTAAGACGGGAAGTAAATAGATCTACATCAGGCATAAATATCTTTTCAGTTATTTTCTTAAACAAACATTGTTGAGCATCTATTCTGTTGCATCAATAAACAATCGACTCTCTTTATCAGCTTCTCAATTTTGAACACCAGAGAAATGTACTGCTGATAACCACACATTATTTGACTTTGCTGTCATCCATATGTCTCTAGCCACCACATTGCTTACTACAGATTTGGTTCCGCCCATGTGGTTAATGTATGCAACTGCTGTTGCATTATCAATTCTCAGTCTCACATCATGACCGGACAATACTGACAGAAAACTCTTTATACCAAATAATACTGCCAATAGTTCCAGATAGTTAATATTGCTACCAGTCCTCTGATCTCCAGAGTCAAACACTGCTCCCCAACCTAACCCTGAAGCATCAGTGGTGAGTGTAAGGCAAGGTGGTGGTCTAGATATAGGGGCTCCTTTAGACTTGATGTTGGTTGCCCACCACTCCAAATCCTGTCTGCCTGCAGAGGACAGTGTCATTGAACCACCAAAGTTACCTCTTGATGCCTTTGAAGCATCTGATTTCTCTATTTCCAACTGTTTGATAAATAGTGGCCCAAATGGCATAGTTATAGTATGACCAGAAATTATTGAGAATTTTAGGAATATGTTTAATTGGATTTCTAGTATAAACAACCTTGACCAGCTATCAAGTGCGTGGTTTCATTCAAGAGAGAATACTCCGTTAATCCTTTTTCATTAGTCTGGGGAGTTACCCCCCTTTGTTTACTTTGTAGCAGACGATATTTTCAGTGATCCTCAGTATAGATGATTTAGAGAAGAGGAAGTTGATTTTAGAGTATTATAACAAGTACATCAGATCAGCTAAAGTGATTTCAAGTAGAACAGGCATCCCTTTCTCCACTGTTTATCGTATTTTGAAAAATATTGCAAATGGATATGGCATTGAGCACCAGGGAGGCGCAGGTAGGCCCAGAAAATTGACTGTCGATGACAGGAGGCGGCTTGGTATTCTTGTTTCTAAAAACAAACGAAGGAGTTTAGAATACTTAAGGCTGGATATGATTGATAGAGGAACTGTGGCTATCTGTAAGGAGACAGTTAGAACTGAGCTGCATGCAATGGGTTGGCAGAAAAGACGAGGAATTCCATCACCGATCATGAAACCTGAACAAAAGGATCGAAGGTTGAACTGATGCTTACAACATAGAAATTTTAACTGGGACAATGTGATTTTCTCAGATGAAAGTTGTGTGTGGCTGTTTCCTAATACACTGAAATTCTGGACCAAACAAACAGAAAAACCTTTGTATCAGCGCCCAAAGTACAGTCCGAAATTTAACGTGTGGGGTGGCATATCTGTGTTAGGGGCAACGCACATCTGTGTATTTGAAGGAAATATGAACAGTGAGCGGTACACAGATATTCTCGAGGGACATTTACTTCCATCTGCTCACGTGTTCTATGGAAAAAAAAAAGATTTTCCAGCAGGACAACGATCCAAAAACATCGTTCAAAGCATTCACAGGCCTGGTTTCGGACCCAAAATATGACTTTATTAAATTGGCCAAGCTATAGCCCTGACCTAAATCCAATAGAAAATGTTTGGGGACTTATGAAGGAAAGTGTCAATAAGAAAAATCTGACAAATATAGCTGAAATGAAAGAAGAGGTTGCCCATGGTGACTTGACAAGATACTTACTGTTCACCTGTCTTTGAAATTGGAGTTATTATATAAATAGTTAATGTACTGTCATAACATACATAAAGCTCGCGCCTGTAAAATATCAACAAAACATTAGAAAAATAGCTCACACCAAAGCCTTCACCGAGTATTCACCAGACAACACGCTTCCAAGCTGCGCGAACCTATTTCACTGCGCACGTGCTATGAGCGCAGCCTAGCTGTTGAAACCACTTGAATTCCCCCAAGCGCTGGGGGAAAATAAGTGAATCGTTTGAATTCCGATTTCGCGCGTTTATTTTTATCGCGTTATGTTTCAACTTTATAAGCTGAATTTGCATTTTTGATGATTTGTTTCGCTAAGTCCATACCGAAAGGTATCAGAATCTGCAAAGTTGTGTTTTACGTTGCATGTGACCTTTAAGACGGGTCTATTTATACAAGAAATATAAAGCCGATGCTCTATCTAATAACCAGGCATTTTGAATGCCCTCATCTCTAAGCGCACTGGCAAACTGTGGTTTCAAAACAAATGCTATGATAGGCATGTAACTGACTCTTCCAAACACCTTCTGTAGTCCATAGGGGGTGAACTAATCTTCGTAACATCACTGTTATTTCTATCAATTTTTCTCAAGAAACGACGTCTTTCATATCGAGTCACTGGTAATAACCTATTTATAATACCATTGATGGCAATAACATGTTCTCTGTTCATTTCTAAGATGTCCTATTGAATCTCCTCAACTTCTTCGAACATTAACAATGAGCCTTAAAAACTCGTAATGTTTCAGCATGTACCTAGACATGTTCAATAATTCTAGAAAACGAACTCTTACTTCTATCGTGGTTGGGATCTCAATGAGATTAGTATTTGAGCAAACCACTATTTATACATAGACAACCAATACTAATATACTCTAATATTGATTTATTACCAATAACAGATGCACAAATAACAAAAACCCAGTATTTTAAATGAACATCACACTCTTAGTTACAAACATTAATTCAGCTAATTCTGAGCGAAATTAAACATTCTCGCCCATGGGCCAACATATTTTTCACCCATAGGCGAGAGTTTTTAATATCGCTCTAAATAAGCTGAATTAAGTCAAAATAAGTTGAAACTTGTGTCATGATGCTTATAAACATACACTCATTCATTTACAATCTCCAAAACATGTATTTTGAATAAAAGTAAATATTCTCGCCCATGGGCGAGAGTTTTTAATATCGTTCTAACTTAGTCGAATTAAGTCAAAATGAGCTGAAATTTGTGTCACGATGCTTATAAACATACACTAATTCATTTACAACCTCCTAAACATGAATTCTGAGCGAAATTAAACATTTCTCGCCCATGGGCAGGCCATGTGCTATTCTTTTATTAATTTGATATGGCATTGTTTGTTGTCGCATACTTTTGCGTTAGTGAAACAAATGTAGACAACTTAAAGCTGATGTATGGCGTTATTACAGCAAAGGCTGAGCAGAAGGAGAAATAACATGGTTTCGGCACTGTGAAACTATTAAGAAAGGTCACATGCAGCACAATAATATTCCAATTATGTACTGCCAAAAAATATCTACAGTAGTGAGAGGAATAGACTTAGGAATTACGAGTTGGTACGTGTGGCATATTTGGCTGTGCTCTAAGAGAGACATCCTCGATAATCTCGAGGGTATACGTTACGATAACTCTCCACTATATCCTGGATGCATCCACGGCTTAGGGCGATTATTTTATTACCTCCCTTGGCTGGCTCCGCATTCTCACAGTAGCCAATCAGCTAAGCCGCCGTTACAACCGAGCTTGCCAGTGTCAACAAGGATAGCGGTCGCAGTCGCGAAGTTATGTTCGCAGTGCCACTCAGATTGTTCGGGAAATAATAAAGACACATTGACAGATCTGAAACTTTAAAAAATATATGAAAGAACTCCTTCTACTTCTGTAAGAGTACCTCTGCATCAATTGTGTTGCCAAGTTTTAACGGTTAGATAATTTAAGAAGCGAAAGTGAGTTGTGATTGGTACGCTCAACTTCCCAGCGTAGGCACCTGATTGGATAAAAAGCCAGCCAATTGAGGTAATAAAATCATCGCCCTAAGCCGTGGATGTATACAGGGTATAGCGGAGAGTGATCGTAACGTATACCC